TAAATCGAAAAAACGTAATAAGCTATTTAATAAATATATATTTTTATAGTTTATATCTATAAAATTAATATTTTATATTTAAATTGATGGATTAGTTACTAAAAAATATTTTGCTAACTCATTATTTAATTATTAATCATTATAAATTTATAATTGTTTATATATTGTATTAAAAAACAACAACTAGTAAGCCAAATATTAATTAACCTTTAGTTATTTCTTTCTTTTGTATATATAGTAAAACTATATTAATTTGCATCTAAAACTTGTATGACTACATCGACAATTCAAGACAACATATCATGAAATGATGAATATAATATGCTTTTTCATTTGGTAAAAGATTAATAAGTTTTTTTTAGTTTAATATTTATTTTTACATAAGAAATTATATTCGGTTTAACCGGTAAACCGAACCGAATTAACCAAAACCGATTAAACTGAACCTTATATGGTTGGTTATGGTTAGTTTTAAGATGTTAAAAAACCGAAAAAAAAAACGAAAACCAAAAAACCGACCGAATAATACACCTACCCATGGCATCCTCGCACAACTTTCAAATTTTTTATTTTTGAGACTTTTTTTTAATATTTTCTTGGATTTGGTCCAAACTTTCTTTATAAAAAAAGTTCAACTTTTTTATTTTATTTTTATATGTCCTCTAAAACTTAAGCCCCGTTTGATAGTTGCTGACTAAGAAAGTGCTGACTGAAAAAGGTCTGTCCGGGTAAGAAATCCTGACCGAGTAAGAAACCATACTGTTTGATTGTATATCTTATTGAATGTACTGACTCATAAAAAATGACCATTTTACCCTACTACTTGATTGTACATCTGATCACACACTTGATTTCAAACCAAACATATATGAAAAAATGCAATAACAGCAACAAAGGTCCAACATACATAATATATATTTATCTATAACCAAACTCTCTACCAAGGAGTACCAAAACAAAAAATTTCTATTTGGTGGATTGTTTTCATTGAGCAATCACTTGAAGGAGTACAAAAAACAAAAAAAAATTCAAATAAAAATCAAATTTAACATTAAGGCCACATCAAACTATTATAACCAATCTCTCTACTAAACAGGGGAACAAAAGGCCTTTCCGGATAAAAATTGTGTAGGGGCAAAATTGTCCAAAGCAAGAGAATTACCAACTACCTTGTGAAATAAACATCAATTGTAGCCATAACAAACATCAATTGTAGCCACTTCAAACTACCAACATCATATCCTTGCCATTTACATATAATGATATATTCCCAGCACATCCAACAGTTACATCCAGCTATATCAGTTCCGCATATGCTTAGAATTAGTCACAGTCCATCAGAAGTGAGACAAATAGTATCTTACTTCCATTATATAGAACCAATTCAATCAACATTTTGAACGATGTAAAAGGTGAAGCTAACAAACATAAAAAAATAACAATTAATATACCTGCCTATTAGCTTACGAGTACCACCACTCCAGTAAAATTTGAGAGATTAGGAGAGAAGTAGCGTAAGGAGAGGAAATTATCCCCAAAAGAAAATCAATGCCTTTTTTTTTCTTTCTTCCTTACTCAACCAGCAGATACAAAAGAAAAATGAGAACATAGGAACATATGGATTCTGATTTGATTTCAGATGGTTGATTGATGGCAAGAAGATGAGTGGAAGTGATTTCATATGGTTGCGTTCTTATTGCTGTTGTTGGAGATATAAACGCAAATAAGAAGGGGAAACATACCTGCAATTAAATTCGAACCAAGTGGAGAGGCAGCCCATCAATCAATCTAGAGAGAAGGAAAGGGTGCAACTACTGGTCAGATGTGATCGATTTTAAGAAAGCAAAGAGGGTGTTGGATCGATTGATTCGGTGAATCCATTACGAACGAGTCGCAAAGGGGTGTTGGATCGATTCTTCCTGCTGGGATACAATACACACGTACACGTACAGAGATACACATACAAGGGCAGAAGTGGAATACGACATCTTCCTTTCTCAGTCAGCCGATTCCTTGTTGCTTACCATGTCAGACTTCAATTTCCGAGTCAGAAGGTTTAGCAAACAAATTTAGCTGACCGACTCAACAAAAAATGTCTGACTTGACTCGGTCAGACACATATCAAACAGGGCCTTACTTTTTTAATAAGACAAAACTGCACAATTGGTCCTTGTGGTTAGCTGAAAATTGTCACTTTGGTCCAAAAAGTTTTGGACTAGCACCAGAGGTCCAAACTTTTCATTTTGTTGCGAGTTTGATCCAATTTGCTATGAACTTTTTCTTAATGACCATTTTGCCCTTATTTTTTTTTCTTTTGCAGTTTTTTTTATTATTTAATTATTTTTTTATTAAAGGAAAAAAATTAAAAATAAATTTTGATTTTCTATTTTATTTTTATAATTTTTTTATAATAGAAATAAAAAAATAAAAATGCAAACACACACACACACACACACTCTCTCTCTCTCTCTCTCTCTCTCATTTCACACAACACAGATCCACCTTTAAGAACATGAAGCACGCCCATTACTCCCCTCCCTTCTCTAGCGAAGTAGATCCTTCGGTCACCACTCTAAACATTGCCAAACCACCAACAATCACTAATTTTGCCTAGAAAAATCGAGCCACCATGAAAAATCACCACCATCGAGAACTCATCATCCCTGTCTGCCTTGTTCTCCATTTATCTTCTGATCAAATTGCAGCTCAAAAAACATATTAAGAAAGATGAAGGATGAAGAATGAGGAATTGTGATTGAATGGAGAAGTGACGCCTGTGATCGAACAAAAATAAAGAAAAAGAATAAGGGTCAGACTTGCAATCGAGTTTGAAGAAGGAAAGAAGGAGACGCATACAAAAGTAATGGAGGTGGTTTGATGATCTTCGACTTCATATCTTTTGTAAGTTGACGATGACAGAATTAGATCTGGGAATGGACACACACACACACACTTAGGTTTAGGCTGGGAATAATATCATCAAAGTCGAACCGTTTAAACCCAGATGCATTGAAGACGACGCCTGCAGTAACATTGTATATCTGGTGCACCATTCGAAGTGATTTCAAAAATCGAATTTCATCTCCTCTCAGCTCTCCTCCCCCCTCTCTGTTCAGACCAGATGCACTACGGCTATGGTTTTGTCATGGTGGTTCAAAACAGTGGAAGAGGAGGCAACGGGTTGGCGAAAACGAGAATGAAGGTTATTAGGCAGAGTTTTATGTCAAGCAGGTGGCAATGGTGGGTGATTAGTAGTATTGAATGGTATCAAGAGCAAGAGTGGGAGGAAGAAGATAAGCTAGATGGGTAAATTTTTGGGAGGAGAGAGAGAGAGAGAGAGAGAGAGAGAGAGAGAGAGAGAGTTTGCATTTTCATTTTCTATTTTTTATGTTATAAAAATTATACAAATTAAATAGAAAAGACAAATTTTCTTTTTTCTTTTTTCTTCTGAAGAATCTTTAAATAATAAAAAAAATGAAAAAGAAAAAAGTAAGGCAAAATCGTCATTATGAAAAAGTTCATAGCAAATTGGACCAAACTTGCAAAAAAAATGAAAAGTTTGGACCTCTGGTGCTAGTCCAAACCTTTTTGGACCAAAGTGTCAGTTTTCGACAAACCACATTGACCATTTGTGCAGTTTTGTCTTTTAATAAATAGTTTTTTGACCTTCTTTTGCATCTTTATTTATAAATGCATTTTTTACGAAATCGTTTTACAAATTTGTTTTTTACAGAATTATTATTTTTACATATTCGCTTTTATGTATATTTCTTATTTAGATTTTTCCTTTTTAGATTTTTTTTTTTCAAATTCGTTTTCTATTTTTTTTACATATTCATTTTCATATATGTATGTTGTTAAAACATGAGTTAATATCATAAAAGATTCTTATATATATTTTCCGAATTAAACCTCAACTTTATTTTTATTATTTCTTTTTAAAAAGACCTTGCATTCTACTATTTTTTTAGATTTGGTCATTTTAGCAAGTTAGTGGTAATCTTCCGGTTTTAGACAATTGTTTATGGAAAAACCCTCATTTTTTGTTTCCAAAAAACCTTCACATTTGATAAAATATTTTCGGAAAAAGATTTTAAGAGGGTTTTTTTGGAAAAGAAAAAGTTTGAGATTTTTTCAAAAAAAAAATTAAAACCGAAATATTACAGATAAACCTGCTAAAATGGTCGAATCGAAAACTTTGAAAAATGTGAAGTCTTTTTTTTGAACAATAAATAACAAAAGTTGGGATTTAATATAGGAAAAACCCAATGTAGGGTCTTTTATGATATTAACCCATCAAACATACTAAAATTTGTTTCTTTTTAATATTCGTTTTCACAAACCAATATGCATTTTTATTTATAGTTATTCGTAATTTTACTGTAAATTATGTCTTGCTATAGTTGGTGGAGTTTTAAAAATACAATGCTTATGTATTTGTGGTTGTGTGTTTACATTGGGACAGTCCGTGTGTACGTGTGGCTTTGCCATGTGTGTATGGTTGTGAATGCGTTTGAATGTTTGGCAAAAACAAAAAATATATTGCTACTTTTGTTTTTGCCACACACAATCTCTCTCCAACACGGTCAACTTTTACAAAAAAATATTGTTTAAACTCTCGTTGCAACCCGAGGACTTAAAACCCTCGTTTAAAACAATTTGCAAATTTAATCCATTGCATTAACATAAATACAATCCCACACTTTTACGATGGTTTTTGTTTGGGTAATACTGATAGGCGGCCATGTGATAGAGTACTTGCCATTAACAGTAAAAAGTTAAATCCATAAGTAACATTTGGTAAGAGTACCTCAAGTTACCTTTACCAAAACATACCCAAAGTGATCAGAAAGTCAAATGACCAATAAGTATAATACATAAAACATATGATCTTGACTTCAAAAACAACATTCAAACTAAAATACAACATGACATAAAAACTATCCTTAAAACCCCTAGATACCCATCCAATCCCATTAAAAAAAATCATTCTTTTCAATCTATACTTCACTCCCTATCTTCTTTTGATTATTTATATAACAGAAATGCTTTTGGAAGTCCAAAACCGCCTGAACAAGATGCCGGAAGCCAATCTCCGGCCACAAAACAGGCGGCGAATACAACAAACAATCACCACTTTGCCACAAAAGAAAATTACTCAAACGGGTCTCGCCAGATGTACGTATTATAATATCAGGGTCAGGTGTCACTCCCATATACATATGTCTCTCAATATCTGTCACATCAATCACACTCTTTTCATCTTTTTTATCCCGTTTTTCTTCACAAGATTCTAGAACAGCATGGAAGATTTCATCGGTTGAAGTATAAGCAATACAAATTGACAAAACCGCCCTTGAGTTTTTACCAGTTGCATCCATTGCTCTTTCGGCTGCTAACCTAACGGGTTTGCTTAAAAGTTTAAGGTTTCCAATGAAATAAACCCTAACACCATATTGGTTAACTATGCTCTCTTCGTTTATCAACCCTTTGATCTTTTCCTCCATTAAGTCCATTAAAGATTGGACTTCTTCAGGGCTTCGTTTGAAGTTTTCTATGCTAAAGGCGTAAATGGTAACATACTTTACTCCCAATTCATAGCAGTATTTAAGCATTGACATTAAGCTTGTAAACCCAACTCTATGTCCTTCCCCTTCAATTAAATTATGTTGCTTTGAGTATCTTCTGTTTCCATCCATTATGAAGGCAATGTGATTTGGGATTACAGATACAGAAAGGATGCTGAAAAGGCATTTTCTTGCAAAAGTACCTAAATCCTCGTAGATTTGTGTTCTTTTTTTAATAGCCATAATAAGTTTCCAAGAAGTCTGAAATGCCTATTGTCTGCTAGACCTGTTAGTGAAGATTAAATGCTTAGTTAACCCAACCCTCAGGGGAAACACAAAATTCATAGAAAATATTCCAGTTGAAATGATCAAGAAATTGAACAGTAAATTCATATATTTAGATTTCATGATGGGTAATTGATACTACGACAACAAACAAGATAAAGTTCTAATTTGGGATTCGTGCTTGATTGCAAGTTGCAACACAAGTTAACAAATTTATAACAAAATACACAACTAAACAAAAACAATAGAAATAATAATTCCAATAGAAGCGATCAAGAAATAAAACAGATTGCATGATTGCTTGATTGGTCCTACGACAAGGAAACAAATAAAATTCAAATTTTGATTTGGATCAAACCTAAAAATTGTTAATTGTCATTGCAACTTAGCTATGAGAATTAACAGTTTCACTAAGTAAATCGAACTAAGATCAGTACAATTACACCTAAATCATAATTAGTGACTGCGATTCTTACCAGCATGAGATCAATTGTCGAATAGTAGTACGCGGGCAACAAAATACAAACAAACAGTTCAATAACATAACGTACGAGATGCTAAACTAACCACCGAAACGTTTTCTGAAGGGAGATCGTCAAAAATAATCGAGGTTTGTAGTGATACTAGATGAAGAATACGGTAGAAGGAGGTGGCGTAGTCGTCGAGTCTAGGCGGTGGACGACAAACGACGACGACCAGTATATGGCGATGCACTCAAGGAAAAATTGGGGGTTTTATAGAATCTCAAAATCGCGGAGGAAATAATTAACCCCCTGCTTTATTCGTTTTTTGAGTAGCAAACGTACACAAAAATTCTAAAGATTATAAGTTTTTATTGTTTTATTTAAACATCAATTTTTTATCGATTATACTTTGGATTTATCAAATTTGTTTTATTAAAAGAAAAAGACAAATAACCGGGTTTGGTCTTCATTCCTGGTTTGCCCAGTAACGGACTATATTATATATTTACTAAAATCCAAAATCCTTATTTCAAGAATGGTGGTTATTTTGTTAATTCTAAAAATAGATAATTATGTGTTCATGTGGTCATGTTTTGTGAATATTCCTAAATTATTTGTTTGTTATAATAATAACACAGTTAACTTAGAATTATTTATATACAAATTGTTTATTTTGTTATACTCATTTAATAATACAATATCTAAAGTTATTGTAATAAAAAGATTGTGTGCAAAAAACCAATAAATAAAAATGACATTTTTGAAAATCTAGAAAGGTTATAGAAAGAGATCGTATATGGTGTAAAAATGGTGTATGATTGGAAATAAATCACTATTTATACAAATTTTAGAGTAAATTACAAGGATCGTCCAACGCACATTTGATTCATATTTTCAAAAATTAACCCGGATCATCCATCGTTAGTTTAAAACTTACACGCTTCATCTCTGAAAGACGAATTTGTTGCAGGTGTAGTCCGTTCTAGATTTAAAATGACCATAATGCATTTGTCTATTTATATTTCAATTAATCCTATAACATTTATTATTATTTTTAATTTAAAAAAAATGGGTCCCACTTCCACCACCCCTCCTCCTCTACTTTCACCTCACCCACCCAAGTATCTATCCCATATTCTCTCTAAACCTGAAGAACACCACACACCACCATCACCTCCAAAACTCCGACAACCGCCACATCCCCTATGATGTCAAAATACAGCCATCGGAGGTTCATCTAAAGTTGGAAACAAGAAGCTCATGAGATCTTTCAACGTTTCCCTCATTCATGAGGTTGAAACTTACTTTTCCGATAATGAAAACCTAGCTCGTACATGTGTGCTCCTCGCAATCGATGGCGCTGTTGCAGTCACAGCTTCGGTGAAGTCGTCACCAGTGGAGGTACATCTGGCCTCCAATCCGCCATCGTTTCCACAGTCGGAATCGAAGCTCCATAGCTGAATCTGCACCTTCGCTGCCTCCTTCTTCACCTGTGCACCACAATCGATTCTTCTCCGGTCTCCTTAAATCTCTAATAAGTGGTAACCCTTACTCCGGCGGCGAAATAGGGTTTGGGTTTCGAACCTTTAGAAGGTGACGACGATTTAGGGTTTGTTTTCGAACATCCACTGCACTTTATGCTCCTATGGTGGTGTTAATGTTGACCGATGGTGGTGTTGTTTATCCATCTGTGGTGGTTGTCAGAACTATGGAGAGGAAGACGAACCTGGGGTATGGATTGACGAGTTTTTAGATCTAGGGTATGGATTTTATTTTAGGGTTTATATTCAGGTTTCTTTTTTATTTTCGAGATGAATGGTGGTGCTTGTCAGAGGTATTTGATGGAGGGAGGTCACATGTGGCCGTAGGTTGCTGGTGGCTGGAGGTCGATGGTGGCCATAAGTGATTGTGGTCGGAGGTGATTGAGAAGTTATCAAATGTATTGGCAATTTCTTTTTTAAATGTAGTAGTAATTATTTTATTATTATAAACAAATCAATAAATAATTAATAAATAACAAAAAATAAATAACCAATCAAAAATAAATAAATAAGGGCAAAATGGTCTTTTTATGCGCGGAGGGACTAATCGTGCAAGAAAAAACTAACCCAGGAACGGTCTGAGTTAATTTTTGCAAATTGAGACTAAACGACGATTTAGGGTTTGTTTTCGAACCTCTACTGCACCTTCTGCTCCTATGGTGGTGTTAGTGTTGACCGATGGTGGTGTTGTTTATCCATCTGTGGTGGTTGTCGGAACTATGGAGAGGAAGACGAACCTGGGGTATGGATTGACGAGTTTTTAGATCTAGGGTATGGATTTGATTTTAGGGTTTATATTCAGGTTTCTTTTTTATTTTTGAGATGAATGGTGGTGCTTGTCAGATGTATTTGGTAGTCAGAGGTCACATGTGGTCGTAGGTTGTTGGTGGTTGGAGGTCGATGGTGGCCAAAAGTGATTTTGGTCGGAGGTGGTTGAGAAGTTATCAAATGTATTGGCCATTTCTTTTTTAAATGCATTAATAATTATTTTTTTATTAGAAACAAATCAATAAATACTCAATAAATAACAAATAAACCAAAAATAAACCAAAAATAAATAAATAAGGGCAAAATGGTCATTTTATGTACGGATGGACTAATCGTGCAAGAAAAAACTAACCCAATAACGGTCCGAGTTAATTTTTGAAAATTGAGACTAAACGACGATTTAGGGTTTGTTTTCGAACCTCCACTGCACCTTCTGCTCTTATGGTAGTGTTAGTGTTGACCGATGGTGGTGTTATTTATCCATCTGTGGTGGTTGTTGGAACTATGGAGAGGAAGATGAACCTGGGGTATGGATTGACGAGTTTTTAGATCTAGGGTATGGATTTGATTTTAGGGTTTATATTCAGGTTTCTTTTTTAATTTCGAGATGAATGGTAGTGCTTGTCAGAGGTATTTGGTGGTCGGAGGTCACATGTGGTCGTAGGTTGCTGGTGGCCGGAGGTCGATGGTGGCCAGAAGTGATTGTGGTCGGAGGTGGTTGAGAAGTTATCAAATGTATTGGCCATTTCTTTTTTAAATGCAGTAATAATTATTTTATTATTATAAACAAATCAATAAATACTTAATAAATAACAAATAAATAGAAAATCAATCAAAAATAAATAAATAAGGGCAAAATGGTCCTTTTATGTGCGGATGGACTAATCGTGCAAGAAAAAACTAACCCAGGAACGGTCCGAGTTATTTTTTGAAAATTGAGACTAAACGACGATTTAGGGTTTGTTTTCGAACCTCCATTGCACCTTCTGCTCCTATGGTGGTGTTAGTGTTGACCGATGGTGTTGTTGTTTATCCATCTGTGGTGGTTTTCGGAACTATGGAGAGGAAGATGAACCTCAGTTATGGATTGACGAGTTTTTAGATCTAGGGTAAGGATTTGATTTTAGGGTTTATATTCAAGTTTCTTTTTTAATTTCGAGATGAATGGTGGTGCTTGTCAGAGGTATTTGGTGGTCGGAGGTCACATGTGGTCGTAGGTTGCTGGTGGCCGGAGGTCGATGGTGGCCAGAAGTGATTGTGGTCGGAGGTGGTTGAGAAGTTATCAAATGTATTGGACATTTCTTTTTTAAATGCAATAATGTCACACCCCCAAACCGGAACGGCGGAAACGTTCGGGGGGCGGAGGACGTCATGTTTAGTATCACAACACATGTATCATAGTAATCATAGTAACAAACAACCATTGTATTAATATTAAAGTGTTTACAAGTAGTGATTCACAAAAGATTGAATCCAAAAGTAAATAACAAAACAAGACATGAAGCTACTATGCTCCATCTTCTGAATCTGAGCGCGCGTACCTGGCTACTAGTTTCCTGGGAATACAAGTTATTTTGAAAGAGTAGATCAGCATTTAAGCTGCTGGGTTCATAAGATTTTAGTGATGTAAAGTAAGTTGTAAGTTCTTTTTAGAAAAGTTCGCTTGTTCCTCCAGAAAATCCTATATTTCCTGATCTGATGAAAGATAAGTAAAATGACTCTACAATCCTTTCTATGAGTACTAAACGGATACAAGTTATATAAAACCCAGAGTAAACAAACAATCGATTGTGTGTATCTGCCCTAAGCTCACAACCAAACAAGGAACAGGAAATGAGGCGGAAGGCACACATCCCATTGTTTGTTAGGTCTTCGTTGTATATAACCCTGGCGTATTCACTTGGTACTCACGGAGTTAACTGTAATAGTTCCTTTATATTTGATGAAAACATTCTTTAAGAAAAACCCTTATTTTCTTTAGTAAAAATGGTAACCTCAATAGTTCCTTCTATAATCACTTAGTTTATAATAGCTATATATAATCTAATATCGAACAGATAGTTAATTGTGTGAATCTGCCCTAAGCTCACAACCAAACAAGGAACAGGAAATGAGGCGGAAAGCACACATCCAACTACCTATCGGGTATTAATTATATATAACCCTGATGTATAAACTAAGGTATTATAAAATTAACCACCTAAGGTCCTTTAATTTATACTGGTTTAATAAAATGGATTAAACCTTTCACTGATAAGTTTCTAGTTTAGTTTACTCAATGTTCTATCTGAAGAGTATGTTTTGTACTAGAAAACGGTGTATTAAATTAGTGTACTATGACCTGACCCATACCTGGTACTGCTTATGATTACTTAGTGTATACGGAATATATATATAGCTAAGATCGGATAGATAGTAGGCTGGGCGAATCTGCTCTAAGCCCACAACCAAACAAGGAACAGGAAATGAAGCGGAAAGCACACATCCTACTACCTGTCGGATCCGATTAATATATATCCCTGATGTATAAACTAAGGAATCATAAAGTTAGCATTATAGGCACCTTTCTACTGGATGTACTAAGACTCGACTGATCTGTTTGTCTCTTGTAAAGATGTAAGTTTTCCCTAGTTTATAACTATCTTTACTCGAAAATAGTTTGCATTACCTTTCAAGTGAGAATGTCACAATATGAAAGAAATGGGAAAAATGAAAGTATGCAGTAGTCTTTTAAAGTGACTACTGAAGTACTGACTACCTTAAAAACCAGTTTGTTTACTTAAGGTCATAATGTGATGTGGTTGTAACCATACTAATAACGTTCTCCCTCCAGGAGACTCTGGTTACAAAACGCGACTTAACAAACAAATTGCTAAGCCGTGAAGTAGTCTCACATTAAAGTTATATTGTTCTTGTTTTAGTGTTAGTATGTTCCTCCCTGAACTAGTGTATAGTATGTTCTCTCTGTTTCTCGTTATAGTATGTTCCTTCTGTTCTAGTGTGTAGTATGTTCCTCCCTGTACTAGTGATAGTATGAACTGAACCCCTAAACTATACCTATTATAGTTTACTAGTATGTTTACTTGAACTGTATCTGATTTGAAAAAGACTCATTTATCTACTGAGTTATGATTGTACTTTAAAAACGGAGTTTTATAAACTATAAAGTAACATAACTTTAAAAGAGTTGTTGCAATGATTTGATCACTTATAAACACATAAGCAATCCTTTAAAATGATGTTTATCACAAAGCATTTACACAATTATCATTGTGTTCAACTTGTATTCCCCCCTTAAAAGCATTTAAAACAATTAAAAGAATGATTATAGGGGTATGAACTCACCTTATGTGGGTGATTCAATCGAATATGCGCGTAAGGATGAAAAGTTCCATGAATGAAGTCCCGAGACACAAACGAGTCCTAAATGACATATAATGGCATATATAGGCATGTAATTAGTGTTTAAAAGCAACTAACATGCAAGGAAACTATCTTAGGGACTATGAAACACTTGAACTAAGTGTTAGAATCACATGTGATTAATCAAAGGAGGTTTACGGCCACACTATGGAGTGTACGGCCAAGGTGTGTACGGCCATGGAGTGTACGGTCGTACACTCATGGTAAAACATGCATCAAGAGGGTGTTTGAACCATGGGGAACTAGTGAGTCTAATGCACAACAAGAAGATGAACAAAGTTCTCATTTTGGAGGGTCTTTTGGAGGGTCTTGAGGTGTGTACGGCCATGCAAGGGTGTACGGCCGTACACTCTTGTTGTTCATGCAAAATGGTCGTTTCTAGGGTGTAAATCAAGAGTTTCTGGTGTATACTAAGTATATGGAAAGGATACTTACGATTTGGAAGCTTGAAGAGGGTTCACGACCACCAAGAACTAGTGTGAGTTCTTGGTGTTCTTGGTGAAAGATGATAATCTTGAAGATCCACCCAAAAAAGATGATTTTCATGGATGAAATCAAAGGGAGATACTAGATCAAGAAGGATAACAACTTAATAGATGGAAGAATCACTTACGTTTTTGAAGATCAAGGTGAAAGGCTTGATGATAGTTGAGAGAGAATTGGATTTCTTGAGGTGAAAGTGTAAGAAATGAAGAATAATGAAGGAATACCCTACATAAGGGCATGGGTTCACGACCATCATGGGTGTACGGCCGTACACCCATGTGTGCGGCCGTACACTCCTCTTGATGGAGTGTTTGGCTCGATTGCAACCCGATGATCCTAAGTTAACATCACCCTACACCAAATCCTTAAGTGTACTAGGCTTAGAACCCATAAAATGATCCTTAACAATGCTAATTGATAGCAGAAACGAGTCTGACTCTTGGTTGAATTGAATGGCTGGACTTATCAGACAAAATTTTTTTGGGTTGTCACAAATAATAATTATTTTTTTATTATAAACAAATCAATAAATAAGTAATAAATAACAAATAAATAGAAAATCAATCAAAAATAAATAAATAAGGGCAAAATGGTCTTTTATGTGCGGAGAGACTAATCGTACAAGAAAAAACTAACCCAGGAACGGTCCGAGTTAATTTTTGAAAATAAAGACTAAACGTGCATTTTGGCATATGCACGATGGACGATTGGTGTAATTTACCCCAAATTTTACATCAATTTTGATGCAAAAAAATGGTGTTATGGATTTAGATGATCTAAGTGGTCTGAATCACCCTCTTAAAAAACTTCTACTCTTCAATTGTAAAAAACTATTGAAATGCTTATTCATCTAATTAGTAAAAAGATTTGTAAAAAACCTCTGGTAAAATGGAGATGCTTTAATATTGTCTATTGATTAAATAATATATTTTAAAGATGTCGTTATGGATATGAATATCCACTACAAATAAAATGACATTTAGTGGCATATATTTTTAATGACAAATCTTTTTTATGCCACTATAGCATATTTTTAATGACATATTTTATATGCCACTATAAAATTAATCGATTTAATGACACTTAATAGTTTATGTCGCTAATATTAGTATTTATTAGTGGCATAAATATATTAAAATGCCACTAAAAACTCTATATTTTATGACATATATTTTTCTTATATGCCACTAAAGTTTTATTATGTGTTTTACCAATTTGGTTTTGTGCCACTAAAAAAGTTGAACCCCCCTTATTGCCTCTATGAAATGAATCGGCGTTTATTGCATATAGTTGATATATAAAATATGACGTTTCCCATTTCTTATACCCTAATTGATCGCATTTAACAGTTCACATCATACATTCGGGCCGACGGCGAGTTTGCCAAGATCAGACAGTTGTTTCATTAGATCCTCATCCGAATTATGATCAACAAACTCGAAATCAAAATCAATAGGATGAGAATTAGAGCTCCTTATTGTGTTATCTCTCTTCTTTGAGCTCCTTTTGTTCGAATCTACTCAACGAGAACGTAGACGAGGATTTTCTGGATCATGTAACCACCGCCTCGAATCAGGAGCCAAAGTAAAGGCTCTTCAAGCAGCAAAAGAAATATGAATAATTTTTTGAGTTCCTTGACTTTCTAGACTATACGTCGCCGTCGTCAATGCCTATGAAGCAGGAAGCAGGAAGGGAGAGAAACGCCGATTCATAACCAGGATCTTTCACATCCATCAATGACTATGATGCACGGTTGCAATTCACCGAGATTGCTGAACTTCGATAGTTATGATTATCCAAATCAAAGGTAATCTTTTTTGTGCATCGTCTTTCAGAGCTTCAGATCCAATTAGTTCAAATCTCATCATGCAGAATAGCACTCCAGCTGGATATTTGTCCTCTTTAACTGTTGAAAATGGTAAGCACTTCAACTTCCTTGTTATTTTCATTCATTTTTTTCAACTTGTTGTGGATTTATTATCTTAAAAAGTTGATATATGTATTAGAAATTGACATTTACTAGGAAATTTTAGTCGACATGTGTGAACATAAACTCACTCCCAATCTACATTATGTGAAATCATTGTTTCTTGGTTGGTTATTTGAGTCATTGAAGAACGCCATTGCTTCAAAGCAGGATTTATGCAGGGGAGGTAGGAATCGAGGGGCTTATACTTCACAATTTGACCAATTACATGATGATATGATGACGATAACTACAATACAAAAGTTAATGGGTCTATTGATGACTGGCGGAGGTCAGGGTGGTGCTAGGGTGGTTCAGGAAGCTCTGCATATCGGTGAAACTGTTGAACATAAGGTTAGTTGAATCAAATCTTTCATTCCCCCCTTTATGACATTTAAAGATTTAACTTTAAGTTTTCCTTCTTTCGGATAATCAGACGAGAATACATAGATTCATGGATAAATCCAAATGAAATGCTTCATTAATGAGAGCCCTGATGATTCAGAAGCTTTGAAGTGTGTACAATGGAGCAACAATTACCAAAACTTGAGGAAAAAGTACCAATTTATTTGAAAAGAAAAGGCTGCAGCAAGTAAGGCATATAATGAAACAACAATATCAATTGAAACCATGGGGTCATAATGCTCAAGTCAAGGTTTGTACTTTATAGTTTATGCCCTGATGGCAAAAATCATAATTTTGATGATAATTTTCAACAATCAATTCTCACTTTCATGATTTATATATAAGTGGGTTCTCGTTTAATCCAATTGTTAATGGAAACTACTTATATTCAACCTCCTATTGATCAGTGTGAAGATTGTCTGATATTAGGCTTGCATTTGTATATACCCTTAAAACTTTGGAAACACCGTACGTATTGCCTCATTTATGTTTTTTCACACAAAAAAAAAATCTTAGTTAATTACAGGAAATAGAAATATACGTTTCACTAATTACGATTTCATTTTATACCAATATTACCATTGCATTTACTTTTCCTTAGCCATAATGGGAACATACTTACTTATTTTACCAATAAAAGCAACATAGTTAAATTTCTTACACATAAATAGCAACATACTTATATATTTTTACCAATAATAACAATTTGTAACCTATAATCGCAACGTAATATAAGTATGTTGCTTTTATTAGTAAAAACTAAAGTAATGTTGCTATGATTGGTAAAATATGGTAGTAAGTTACTATTATTGGATGCCACATAATCAAAATAATCAACTGGTATATAGTCAATAAATTGCTACAATCGTTAAGAAGTGTAGGAAGAAAAGTGTATGTTTTTTTGTGCATATACTCATTTCTTGCATGTTTATTTTTTTGTAATATGAAATATTATTCTAATTTGGATCTTTAAAATCAGGCTATGCACTTCGTGATTCTATATATGCCAATGCTTAGACTTTGATATGATGTTAGATTTATTGTTTTTTAGTTTGGCAACAAAAATAGAATAACCTTGAACATTAGATTACTTTTTATTTAATATTTTTTATATGAAAGATTTAATCAGAGGGTATAACGGCCATTTTACCGATATAAACATCATTTTGGCCTGAACATTTTTCCCTTTCTTTGACAGTTACAACAGAGGAGCCTACTTGTTTCTACCATCCTACATAATGTACACACGTAGCACTAAACAACAATGTGATGTAGTTAAAAGAACACCAAAGAAGCAATTGTAACTTGTCTTTTGGGCTTTGTAATAAATTTACAAAATTCCCTTTCTTTTCTAAATTCATTTTCCGATTTTTATTTTTATATACATTTCAGGTACTTAATACACTTGATGCCAAAAAAATGGAGGGTAGTTTTTGGTGTTATAGACATAATTTGGGCTAGTGGAGGAGTCTAGCTGACTTAGTTGATTGTCATGATGTAAGTTTTTTATAAATATATATATTTTTCATAAAAGATACTAAAAGTTTAATAAATTTTATGATTTGGGTTTATTTAGGGTGGATGTTTGAAAAGTATTATTATCACTTTTTGTCTTAAAAGGGTCAGTATTTGATATTTAAGAGTCAAATGTGTAACTTTCTAAAAATTTACTAAACTTGCTCCATATAGATGTTGCTAAGCATGTTGGAGAAGTTTTTGAACCAGACTCTTTTCACCCTATTGATTAAATATGTAAAACAAGTATATGTTATATGTTAGGTATGTACTAAAATATCCATATATATCTTGCAGCGTGGATATTATCAAAAATTACCGTAATATCTCATGCCTTGTGTTTAAGGAGGTAAATAATATGCTAGTAAAATTATAAAAAACTTTTGATATTTTCATTTTTGTATTTGACAGAGAATTGCTAGTGTTAGTTCTATACGAGGTTATTGAAGATAACATGAAGTTTGGGGAATAAATTCAACTACAATGAAGTTAAAAAAAAGGGTTGTTTGTTTAGTTACATTTTATATTTAGTGTCTATGTGGTTCTATATTTAAATTAATTTGGCATTGATGTAAAACAATGGAATTTTTATTATTTTCCATGGATTATAATTTAATTAGCTTTTTTTTATTATATTATAGCTAAAAAATTTGTTGATATTAGTAGTATAATTCTAAAATCACATTAGTATTAAGGACACAAAATATGTGTCATAAAAAACTTTTATTGTACTATGGCTGCTAAAAAAGTGTCACTACAAGAACATAAATTTTAGAAATGAGTTAGTATTTACCGACACATAATATATGCCACAAAAAACTTATTTTCTATTGTGACAAATAACGAAATGCCACTAAAGTCCCAAAATGTTGCAGCGTCACAACCGAAAAGTGCCACTAAAGGGTTTTAGTAGGAGCGTTTCTAGTGACACTTTTTATTTGTGTCGCGAATTCTCCAAGTGGCCTTTAGTGGCATTTTTTGGGTTTTTAGTGACACTTTTGTATGTACCACTAAATGATATATTTTTTGTAGTGATCGCTGAAAAACAGTGATTGAGTTGTACCTAAATGCTCTAGTTTTGTGTATTTGATTAAACAATTAATTCATTTTAAAGATGTCTTAACTTAGTACTCAATTATCTTTGTAACTGAGTACCTAAATGCTTTAATAGAAAAACAATTCACGGTTGGGATTGGCATGGAAGAAGAAATGTTAGGGTGGAGAATGGAGTACTCAAATTATCTTTGTTGCTAGATGTTCTTCCTGTAGTTAGCTTATCAAATCATATTGCAAGGTGGATTTGGAATATAGGTGATGATGTAGTTTATAAAGATGATGAAACATGGAGATAGGTTGATAAAAGTACGTTGCATTCTTCTCAAAGAAAAGATTCGGTGAAATCGGTTCATTCCTCGTAAAGTAAATATTCATGTGTCGCGAACTATTTTGGATAGATTACCTATGCAATTAATGAATCTTGATCATCAGAGAATTGACGTGCCTTCTTTATTATATATGCCCAATTTGTAATTTGGAAGAGGAGCAATTGGATCACTTGTTTATCCATTACAAACTTATCTGATCAGGTGGATGGGACTAAGTGTAATGCGAATAAAAAGAATGCTATGTATGCGATTGTGGCCACTTCGAATTGGTTTTTATGGGGGTTTCGGAATGATAAAGTTTTTAGTATTGCAAAATGAGAAAATACAACATTTTTTATTCTATACCAGAGTTTTATTTTCTTTAGTTCAGCACTAGAAATAATAAACAAAGTTTCTAATGGGTCAATTGATTGCTAATCCTTTTAACATTATGTAATTTTTGGTTTTCTCTAGCTTCTTGCTAGAGTTTTCTTTTTCTTTTTAATATATGGATGATTGTTTCAAAAAAAAATGTCTTAACTGAACAAGTGTGATTCATTGTTTCTGATATTTCGTTAATTAATCGAGTTATGACACATGTTCCTCGCTCGACTTGATCTTTTCGTATACCATGTAAACATTTGATACAACAATTCAAGCAAACTTTTGTTGAGAGTTCAGTAAAAGGACAAGTGCTATTACAAAGTCCAACTTAATACATATACTTGTAACTTCAAACAACTATTGATCAACTTTCCAAAATTGTAACATTTTGTAACGCGGAGGTGTAGTCGCCAAATGCATTGTTGCGTCGAACATATTCTTTATATTGAATGGCTTTGTAGTTTGATGGTTTTGCTTCGTTTACCAAAACCTTTGCAGGTTCAACGACACAATCGAGAGATGGGTTCACAAAAGTCGCAATGCTGCTTCTAGTTTTGTGCATGCTAGTCACTACTCTGTGATCAATACTTCTTAGCTTTCCATTGCTTATAATCTAAACTCAACAAAAAAACGCATACCATTAATCGTTAATTAATTCTAAAAGTGCACCACGAGCTTTAGAGTAAATGCATCCGGAGCTCATTAGTTATAAGGGTATGTTTTTTAAGACCGGATGAAAAAAGATGAGACTCGAAACTAGATTAATGCACTTGACATGATGAGATGCCATTGGACTAGACTAGGCTAGCTAACTTTCTATAACTATATTTGATGAGATCATATCTTTTGCAAATATATAGAGAACTATTTCATGTCTCATTTTATTCCATATTTTTTGGTCGGACAAAAAATTGCATTTTTTCTCTCATGACACATGCCTAATTAGTATGTCAAGCCCAATTATTTCGTGTCTTATTGTACATAACCATACAATAACAAAAGAGCCTCCCGGATGCTGAAGCTCTTCATTTTAGGTTGAAGCCATTGGGATTCAAACTTGGGTCAACTTCATTTTGTAGTGTTTCATCCTAACGGATCGCCACTAGGCCACCTCAATGTGCATTAATCCAAAGCTTTACGCTAACTTAACTTAATGAACTAGCATATATACCTCCATTTGGTTACCTATGTTGACAACAAAGGCATCAGAAATGGCTCCAACATTGATCCATTGACCATCCTTCAAAACCTGAAGACCAGTTGAATTACCTTGATACACCAACGTTATGAAGCTAGGATCTTGGTGCGATAATATTCCCAAAGTTAGACTCGGGTCTGGACATGGCGGGTAGAAATTTGACGATAATAACTGGACTTCACTTATATTATTAAAGTACCCCGCCTCCAGTCCTAACCCTTCACCGATCATCTCCAAAATCCTCAAACTCAGTTTCTGTATTTCTAGTATATAAGTTGCAATTACCTCCCTGTAGTAGTGTATATACATTTTTCACTTAGGATAATATTATAAACTCATGATTCTTTGAAATAATGAATATAAATTATTAAAAGAGCGGAATTTACTGATATCTAGTTGGTTTGTCGGGCCATAGTTGAATGCATTTGTCCAATGGATGACAAAGATGCTTGAGATTTTCCCTCCATAAATACACGCCATCTTTTGTGTGGTCGGTGTTGGTGTAAATCCAACCCTTTGCATGTGGAACGTACCCTATTGCTTCTTTGTACGGCATGTTAAAGAATTCATTAAGAACATTCATTGCATCAATCATCGTCTTCTTCGGAACTCCATGATTGATCACCTGTTTCATGATTTTATAACAAAAATGTCTGTAATATTTAGAAACACTACAGCAATTAACCCACCGAAAAAAGAATAAACTTTTATATATACCTGAAAGAAACCAAATTCTTGAGAAGCCTTCAAGATTGCTTCAATTGGCTGAAAAGGTATTCCAAGGTCTATAACAGGAAAGGAATCACAAACAGGAACATCAAGATTTTGTGGCCTATCTTCATGGGAGAATATGTAATCTTGAGGCACATACTTAACGTTGAACCACCTTGAATCTTTATCTTCCTTGATCTCCATATGAACACACATGTGTTGCATACACTTACACACAGAGATATATAGATATACGAAATTAAGAATGCATATATGTCGATGCTGCCCTAGATATGACCATTAAAAAAATCTTATCATTTTTAGGTCATTATCAATTTATTGTTTAAACTGTACAGCTTGCCTCACCCATGATAGCTCTCAACTGGAAATATGAAAAAGAAGAATGTAATATATTAATTATGGGCCAGGTAGGTTGCACCGATGTCACCAGATATGTGATTGCTTGTAATATCAGCACTGATGCTGCATTTGTAATATTCTAAATACCACTAGTAATTATATTAATAAAATACCTATCTTGAAGAAAGCTGTATAGATATATGTTCCTTTCACTGGCCAATTACGTAATCTGCGAGGATCTAAGGTTTTTTCGTGAATAAGACAGCAATATTACAAAATAGTACATGATGGAGCTAGGGGAAGATATATGAACCATAGATTGTAGTCAAGAACAGATCTAAAGTATTAAAAAGTCCATAATAGAATATGCTGCCGAATTGTTTGATGGGAAACATTAGATTCAGGATCAACACATGCCGACCACAGTTTATGCTATTAAATCAAAGTGTATAGATCTAAAAAAGAAATTCAATCAAAAGTGTATTTATAGCTATAGAGTTTGGGATTTGGGTATAAAGGTGTTGATCATGAGAACAAATTGAAAAGTATTAGTTCATGAAAGAAAAAGTCATCTTTTTGGATTATTTAAACAATTTTTGGTGCAAAAATTCCATCATACTTTACTTTTTTCAATATTGATAATATAAGCAATGTCAAAAGATTTTATTTAATCTTCAATGCCAAAGTAATAACTAAAAACATCAACAAAATCTGAGAAAGAACACCAAATAGACAACATATAAATGGTTTATTAAGTGTCATCATCATAAACAAAGATTTAACAATTGTTTTATAACAATTAGGTGTCAAATTATTAATTTTGTTCCTGTCAAGTTGTTTTGACTTTTTCTATTAGCTTATGGGTAAGAAATTAGTAAAAAGAGTAAAATACATTTGTTATCCAGGTGTATAGTTGATCTTTTATGTTGTAGTCTTTTTTTCTCTTTTTGGTTTTTATAAAAATAGCAATTTGGCCTCATATTTCTTTTCTTTATTTGTCTCTCCTTTCATGATCCTTTTCTTCCAAGCCTGGAAATAGAAACCATAATTTATCTCCACCTCTATTTAAATCATTAGAGCAGTACCGGTTCAAAAAAAAATTAGAGCATTACATTTACAAATTTAATAGGGCCAATTAAGTTTGTCATGTCGATCGCATGCATCAATTTTTTTAAGCTTTTTTTATTTGTTATATTTAGAAAACCATAAAATAACTTATAAGTTATCATCAAGTCAACACCTGCCCCTCACACACAAACATAAAGAACATGAACATACTTAACCCAAAAGATAATACAGCTACAAGTTACATGGATCAAAACATTTACCCTAAAACATTATAGATAGAACATAACAAACTTAAATAATTGACTAGAATATCAAAACAAGCTCGTATCACCATACTGCCATACCAATCTCAAAAGCCAAGAAACCTACCTTCAACTTTCCATTTTCCTAAGGTTATTTTTTCTCATAATTACAGTCGAAATTTCTCTTTTTGTAGGTCCACGAAAGCCCCCTCCCATTTCTTATTATCTGCAAAAATCCTTTTTTCTCGTTCAAGAGGAAGGCTGTCCTCTACATACTGGCCCATTTTTTTAAGGGGCCCATTTTTTTATACTATATGCAATTTCAGCCCAATCTTAATGCAAAGATAGTCCAATCAAATGATCAATACTCTCATCGGTCACATAGTCCACACACCAGAAGGTTTCAACGAACAAAGAAGGTAACAATTGCATCGCAGATGTAACGTCCCAAAAATTAAAACTAAAAATTTCGATTTTTAAATTAATAAAATCATTATCCAAAACAACATCATAAAATCATGATGAATCAAAGTGCATCAATAACATCCAAGTACATCAGAGTAATATAAAACGCGGAACGATGTGGTGTGTGTACTGCAATCATCTCGGGTTCTTCCCCTTCGAACCAGAAGTACCTGAAATATAAACTGAAAACCGTAAGCACAAAGCTTAGCGAGTTCCCCAAAATACCACATACCATACATATCAAACATATAATGGGCCCCGCCCGGCATCGAGCGCCGCTCGGAACAGATCTGTCAGTCATCAGGCCCCGTCTAGCATTGGGCCCCGCCCGGTATACATAGAAACATATAAACATATAATCATATACATACATGCAATAATCACAAAGATAAATAGCATACATGATAGTCATCGGGCCCTGCCCGGTATACATATCAATATTGTAACATCCCAAAATTAAGAAAAAAAAAATTTTGTTTTTAAATTAATAAAACTATTATCCAAAATATCATCATAAAACCATGGTGGAACAAAGTGTATCAAATACATCATAAACACTACAAATAAAATTGCATTTAATGGCACAAAGTTTTAATGGCATTATGCTTTTGTGCCGGTGGCACTAAAGTCTATTTTTAGTGACATTTTGTTTATGCCATTATAGCTTTTGAAAACATTTTCAGTATCACCTCCTCCCTAGTCATTTCACTATGCGGGAAAACGAAAAATTATATATAAAAAAATCCTGCCTTTGGATTTCGACGATTCAAAAATGGGAACGATTCTTCTTCGTGTTGCACACATGCTACCCTCCGCTGCTCATCCTATGAGACCTAGATCGGCCGTCCTGCTCCGCCGCTCGACCATTCATACCTAGATCGCCTGCCCTGCTACATCGATCTACCGCTCTGCCCTAGTCCCCCTATTCGACGTTCTTCCATACTACTCCGCCCTCTTCCACCCTAGATCGTTTTCTGTCCTTCGTGTTACTGTAAGTTTTTGTCGTCTGTGTCATTATCCATCTCGCTTTAATTATTCTTATGTAATGTTTACATGTTCGTATATGTTGTTTAACTCAATTTTCAATCTTATTGTAATTTTTCAGCATAACGTGTAACCTAATTTGCTACTTATTTTGCAATCACTCAATTGGGAACGGGGTGTTTCCATGTAAAGTTTTGTCACTCCTCACTTTCCATATATTATTGAGTTATGTTTTTTTTAACTATTTTATATGTCGAGGTGTTAATTTTATATTAGGTTTTGGAGGAACTTAACCTTACAGTGGATTAATTTTCGATTTGTGCATTCTTTGTAGGTTCTAGGGTTCAAGAAGTGGATAGATTAATCATGATTCTCTGTTGATTTAATTGCAAAATCAATTCCTTATAAATGGGGATAAATATTGACATTTTGGTTTTAAATATGAACATTTTGGGATGATATGTGAAATTGCCAAATCAGATGTTAGTATAACTAGAGTTCAATGGATCAAGGCATTGACCTTGGGGTTAAGACAAAGATTATTAAGTATTGGTTTCTGCAAGGGTACTCTGTAATACTTTTGATCTTTATAAGAAATTTGCTTGATGCTTCTTTTGGTGTTTCTCTTTTTGTTATCTTAGGCGTGACTTTGTGAGAATGGAATTCTGTTGAAGACAATAAGAGGAAAGAATGGATAAAATCTGAGATAAACCAAATCGTTGGTGGTTGTTAAGTGCCTTTAGCTGTATCATCATATCATTTTTGTGCTTGAGAGAACATGGTAACAGAAAAAGAATATAAATAATACTTTTTTGGAATATTTCCAATTGTTAGTGTCCTTTTTATGAAGATCTTAATATGTGCATGATGTCTCTATTTTATTATTGTTAACAGGAGGAGTATTCACAAAAAGAAAACATGGTAATAATTACAACCTTTTGTTTTTTTATTACTAAGATATAAGTGACCCCACTCTTTAACAATTTTGTGTTCGGATGTAATAGCTATGCCAGTTTCTTTACTAGACAAATGTCCCATTGTTATATTAATAATCAACAGGGAATTGGAATGAGGGTGTTGAGTAGATGGTTTCAATGGAGATTTGAAAGGAAGCATCACTCAAACAACTCAAAAAGGCATTCGGGGGCATTTGTGGGTATATGAATTAAAACATTTTTTAATTAGCTTCAAGTGGGAGGAAAAATATTGAGAGAATATATATATATATATATATATATATATATATATATATACCATATGTTTTAGAGTGAGGCTTATTTGTTATAAACTGATTTATCTTTTCAGGGGCATTTTGGGTATTTTAATCAAAACATTTTGTAATCAGCATCAGGTGGTTCTTGTATTAGTTCAAGTAACAAAAATATCTTATAAATATTTTTATATTCCATATTTTCATATTTTAATCTCTAATTTTTCTGAAATAAATTCACAGATTGCTCTATTAGTAATTTGCACTTGGAATGACTTATTACCGGAAGAGGAAAATAGTCTAAAAGATCAAATGCAATACTTTACAAGGTTTTCAAAATTGTTTTTATTATAATTCCTATATTATTTTTTTTATAAATCTAACTACTTTTTATAAAAATGTAGATAATCACTTCTGCCCTCCAAGAAATTGTCGAAACAAAATTACAAAATTAATTGGACTTTTGACATCAAGAGAGGAAATACCAAACTTGTTGAAGGTTTGTTGAAAATGTCGTATGCTTAAATGCTTAATTATATGTTTACTTATTCACATGTTTATAAACACTTTTAAATTAACTTTGCTTATGGAAACCTATTTTTTTTTTAGGAAACACTACTTGTGCACAAGGGCTTGACTAATGGAGGGCTGCAAGATCTTGTTAAAGAACTTGAACAAGAAGGTACAACATCTTTTCTAAAATATTTTTTTACCACCCCGTTAGGGTTAAAATGTAGTTTTATCTCCTTGCGGGTGTTACATTGTTTTTTGGACATGAATGAAAGAGTGAACAATTTGGTTAACTTCACGAAGACAAATAGATTCCATTATGAGTACAAATTGAAGGCTTGCAGAATTTAAGTAGTTACATTTTCAAGGATCAAGTTTCGTGTTTCTTCTCCAACAAGTATTTAGTTTGATAGTATTATGTTTAGAGTACTAGTACAACATTTAGACTTGTTGAACTATTCGGAAGACTATTGTTTTTTAAATATATTGAAAATATTGTTGTTAGACAAGTTTGAATTTGATGTAATGATAT